TTTGCTCAATTCTGTAGGCAGTAATCTACTTGAATTTGGTGAAGCTTTTGGGAAGACTGTGTATGTATTGCCAAAATTAATCCCACTGTGTTTGCACAAACTTTTAATATGTTCTAATTCTAATTGGTAAATTTGGACTGTTTTTATGGTGATATTTCACAAAATTTTATGAGAGTAATTGAGAAAAAATATTTGGAAATAACACTAAACTATTTCTAAATTTAGATTAATGAAAATCATATAGCTCTGAAGCTAGAAAATATGGTATTTCTTGTATTGGTCTTTCACACCATTAGGCTCAGTGTATTGTACACTAAATATTTTTTATGCTAAGTATTTCCCAAAAACACCATGGACCTTTTTATATTTTAAACATAGGCTAATGTTAGAGCTGCAATTTTTCACCATTGTGAATTTCACTTATATTTGAGGATTTTGAATCTGTTTTTGCTGCTGTTCCAGTAAATCTCCTGAATGATAACACTGAAATAACCCTTACACAAGGATGAAACTACAACCTCATCTCCAGTAACCGTGACAAACATTGCTATAATATTTACAGGGGGAAAATGTTCATCCAGGGTGAAATGCAGAGATCCATTAAAACATCAAACATTAAAAAAAAAAAAAGGCAGTTGAAGCTGCTTAATTGCTTTGCTTAGAAAGACTAATGTAATGTCTGAGGAAGTAATCCCTAAATAAGTTAGGAGGTGAGATCTTTCAAAGGAGGAAAAAACCCAGGCATAGACCTATCAGGGAATTCAATGACGAGACTGTCAAGAGCAGTAAAGCTGATGTGTTGTTCAATGTCTTTGGGAGAGATTTCTTGGTGTTCTGTGTCTTAATGTAGTGAAAAGCAAACTTCAGAGGGTGAACATTTGGCATTATCCTATTGGAACCCAAAAGTTTCCTCTGGCATAGGAGTGGGGGGTCTGTCAAAACGTGTGACTTTGCCTTACTCTGAAGCATTCAGTGTGGGAATGAACATGGCTGTAAAGGATGGAGCATGGATGAGGCCATCCCTCTGTGGTACTTAGCTGGCGCATTCATTTGTGCTAAACCAAATAAGTTGTGGCAGCTGGAGCAGGATGGTGGAAAGGAAAAAGCAGGAGGGAGTGGAGTGAGGGAGAAGGCACAGCATTGTGTAGTGGAGGGAGGTTTAGGTGGGCTGTGGTGTGGGCAGGGGGGCAAGAATTGCTCCAAGGCCCCGTGGGTCTGGCACCGGGGCTGTGAGAAGGGAACGGGAGATGGGGAAACAGGCTCTAGGCTTTGGAATGGGGGATGTCGAAAGGAGGATGGAGCAGCAGGGATGCGCAGATGGAGCCAACTTCCACAGAGCTTTTTTGTGATATTTGGCTGCTGTCTGGAGCTTTTAGGGCTGCTTTTAGTGTGTAAGCTGCTGCTCCACATTCATTCCCCTGAGCCCCACGGCAGCGATTTCTGCTTGATAGCCCCTGCATCAAGGGAAAGGAGAACACTCTGGGGTTTCCGGGGCTACCAACATTTCGCCGGGGATGTTACTGCGGGGAGAGCGCTGGAGTTTGCCGCTCCTGCGCCCCAAACCCGGTGTTCTCGCCGTTCCCCCAGATCTGACACCCCCTCCCCCGATTGCCTGCGTCTGACTCATTCGCTGCTGCTTGTGCAAGCAGAGCGGGGCGGGGGGGTGGGGTGGGAGAGAAGCCTTCAAAGTATCCGCGGCTGCTCTGGCTGTGACAGGGCGGCCGTGAGCTGCGCCCCTGCGAGGGCGGCGGTGCCGGGGGCGGCGGAGCCGAGCGGGCCGGGCTCAGCCCGCAGCGCCGCGCAGGCGGCCCCGGGTGGAGCCCGCCGCACCTCCCGGAGCCCGTGCCGCCAGTCCCCGCCGCTTCCAAGGAGCCGAGAGCAGCGCGGGGGCTCCGTGCCTGCCGTCCTGGGGAGCTGCTGCGGCAATATCGCAATTTACAAAAAGGGAAGAGAGAAAAAATAAAAGAAAGAAAGAAAGAAAGAAAAAAAAAAGATGAAGACTCTTAAATGCCTCCTGCCAAAAGTAAAGAGCGAATCTCAGTTGCAATGGCTCTGCTAAAACTTGATCATGCGGGATTTCAAACGATAAAGGGCTGCCGGGCTGCTATTTACTGCGGTGGGAACAAGTTGCAGGATGAAATCCAGGCGTTAAGGGACCTATTTTCCACTTCATTGTTTGCAAAGGAATCTACTGAAATGACTTTGAGCGTCTTTAAACTGGAACTATGTGGAGGGAGAATGCAGTAAGTATCGCCTGGTGGGGAGCCCGGATCGCGCCCAGCCCCGGGCGCCGCGCAGGGCTCTCGGCGGGGCCGGCTCCGCCGGCCGGGGCTGCGCTCCGAGTTCCCCGCCAGCACCGAGGGCCGGTGAGGGGATGCCGGCAGCTTTGCCTGGCGCGCCAGCGTCCTACATAGAGCTGGGGCTGCTTGAAGAACTGCCTTCATGCATATTTACTAGGAATTGTGAATGAAAAAAATCAGAGCAATCGAGCTTTCTGTGGCGGGCTCTGCTGTAGTGTCTCCCTGGGTTTGTTTATGGTAAACTGGGAACGAAGCTGTTCCGTTTCAGGAGCGAAAAGAGCTTTATCCCGCACCGCTTTAGCTATGCTCCAGGTTATGCTTGTTTTGAACCTGCCAAGAAAACTCCTGCCCTTGCTCATATTAATTAGTTTGCTTCTAGCTGCGCTTTCCAGGTTGGGTGTCTCGTCCCTTAGCGCTCAAACCCGTCCATCTCACTTGGAAGCAAAGCGGGCAGTTGGGAGCTCAGGATATTCCTGACCTGGATAAGATGAGGGACGTATCCCGGACGGCTGAGGGCTCACGGAGCTGCTTTCAGAAAGAGCGGAAATCTAAGTGAAGGGGGGGGAACTTTTGAGTGTAGTCACTTTATTTCCGTTCATGCGATCGAGGTATATTTCTTTTTCTCCTGTCAAATCTGCAACCTGACTAACGGCTTCTCCCCGTCTCCTCTCGTCCCCCCGCTGTCCCGTCCCGTCCCCCCCGTGTCCAGCCCCCCCTTGCCTGTCTCCCTGTCCACGTAGCTGCCCTCCCGGGATGCGATGTCGCTCGCAGGCTGCGGCGGGGATCACGAGTGCGGCCAGCGGCGCAGAGGCCACCCCTGAGCCCGGGCAGCGAGGGGCGCGACATGCCCGCGGTCGCGACATGTCCTGCAGCGACACCGACAGCAGCACCGGCACCTCCGGCAGCCGCCGCCGCTCCGTCTCCTGAGGCGCTGGGTACGTGCGGCCCGCGCCCGCAGGGGGGCGCCCTCGCGCCGCCGCCGGCCCGCGCTCGGGGCGCCAGCGAGCCGGGATCCGAGCGGGGCCGGGAGCGGGGCCGGGAGCGGGGCCGGGAGCGGGGCCGGGAGCGGGGCCGGGAGCGGGGCCGGGAGCGGGGCTCGGAGTGAGGGGCTCGGGGGCCCTGAGCCTTCCTCGGGCTCGGGAGGAAGCCGGGGCAGTTCGGTTTGCTGTTCCACCGCGCTCCGTGCCGCCGCTGGTGCGGGAGCAGTCGGCGGGTCCTGGCCCGCAGTGAATCAGGCGGCACTGATGTGCAGCTCAGTGCTCTGTCGAGTGCTCGTCTCCTTGTGTGCCCCGAAAGGAGGTGGTGATGCTGCAAGCCCGTGTCTGGCTGCGTGTTTCAGCGGCCGTGACTGAGGATGGAGATAGGGCTGGCAGGATGAGAGGGGAGATCTGAAAAATGCCACCGTGATTGGCCAGCCCCGCTTGTGTGTTCTGCGTGACGCTCTGCAACAAGCTTGGCTTTATGTGGCACAGGGACTCCCTTCTTGCAGCTAGCAGAGAGCCAGTTATGGGGGTGGAAATCCCCCGGGGCACAGAAACACGGGGAGATCTTGCAGAGTCAGACCTGCTCTCCTTCTCCCTCCTTCAGATAGTTCAGATCCCTTCTGAGCTCATCTCTCTCCCCATCCTGCTCCGTCTGTATTCAGCCCCCTACAGAGATTCATGAAGACATGAGGTAACCAATGCAGCGATGCTCATTTATGGAACACACTCCCCTTCAACACTAGGGACAACTTTGTGTCCGAGATCAGCAGTTCTGAGATGCTCAAGTTCTGAATGCTGCATGCGAGGACAGAAAAGAATTAAGATAGAATATTGTGCTTTTGAATCTGTTCCAGAAATGCAGTAGGATTCCTTAAGCAGCGGCTGCCTCGGAGGGATCTTCAGAAATAAACCAGCATGGGTTTGGGATGCTGTGAGATGTATGGAGTGTGTGGACTGGGCTTTCCAGCAGACCTCTGACTCACTTCTCTCATTTTGGGCTAAAATACCTCTCTCTGATAGACCGTGACTAAAGTTTAAATAGATGTCCAGGATGAAGGAAAATATTCTGGATGGAAAAAGATTTCTTTTACCTATTTTAGCACAGCAAGGTTAAAGAGAAGGATGATAATGTCTTTTTAAAATGATGTCAGTCATTTTAATTTTGTTGGCTATCCAGGAAGAATGTTAATGGGTCTTTTCCCTGAACTTCTGCTACAGTTTTTGCCTTGCTCATGGAAGGCCAGCTGTAATACTGTCATGAAGCTCAGTTTTTGATAAGATATAAGAGGCTTGACTTGGAACTAAGTTGAAGGATGCTTTATAAAAAGCTGCTAAAGTTTGCATTATGCCCAGAAGCTTTCTGTTTAAAACCTTCTTTGAAGATATGCAGTATATATATTTTTCTCTGTGTTCTTCTTATACATTGTGATCACTTTTACAGGGGATAAAGCTGGCAAAGATGAGGAAAATTGGCTGTGCTCTCCTGGTACTCCAAGCTCTTCTGGCACCTTTGGATCTTGTTCGTGGAGCAGAGAAAAATTATCCCATCCTGAACATTGCAGTGATTCTGGGAAGGACCAAATACATAACAGAGAGAGATATCAGAGCTCTCTGGACCAGGGAAATGTCAGCAGACCTGACTGTTGATATCAATGTAGTGACTCTTCTTGTGAACCAGACTGACCCTAAGAGCATCATAACACATGTTTGTGACTTGATGTCAGGCACCAAGATCCATGGAGTGGTTTTTGGAGATGACACAGATCAGGAGGCAGTAGCTCAGATTTTGGATTTTATTTCATCTCAGACTTCCATTCCAATTCTTGGAATTCATGGCGGGGCCTCCATGATAATGGCAGATAAGGTAGGAAAATTTATTAAGAGCTCTTGCTATTCTGATGTACTTCATTGTATTGGTCTCTGTCATGAATAATTTCTACAAGCAGTGGAAAAAGATGCTCTTAATTGTCTCTCTGTACTTAAAGAAAAAAGTATGCATGATGGTGTCTTTGTTGATAGCTCATCAAATATTCAGAAATAGTCTGGGGCTTCTGCCTGAAACTCAACTTTCTAACACTACAAAAACAGCCCTAATGAGATATTACTCTCCAGCACATGGAATGATGGTCAGTTAAAAAACTTTAATAGAACTTTAATAGTAGGTTCCTAAAATGATTTTGAGGGTAAGATGTAAAACTATAAGCAGATGTTCTGTGGTTTTATGAGAAATAGCAAGCAATAGACCTGAATGTATCTGGGTGCAACAGTAATAATAGGACAATAATGAGCCAGACTTTAGTGATCCAGTACAGTGTCTGAATTAAGTAGTCATGCACACTTGAACCACTGCATTCCAAGAATTTATTGAATGAGATTTTTGCTAACTGGATAGTTCTACTTTGCTACTGTAGTTCATGAAAATCCAGTAAGGGCTGTCTGAAATCTGGAGATAATGATAGATAGTCTTGTTGGAAAGCATATTTTTATGTAATCTGTTGTGAGACAGGCACTCAGTGCAGGGCTCAGCTCTGCTGGGAACTCTGCCTCGCCTGCAAGTCAGAGGAGCTCCCACTGAGGTGTGAGAGAGCAGAGCTCAGAGAGAGTGCAGATGTGGGAGTCACTGGTTTGCCAGCTCTTGAGGATCTTTAATGTGAATTGTGAATTATTTCCTGGTATTTCTGTACTTTTGGGTTCCTTATTAATTTATTATTATTTTTTCTTATGAGTGACTTTGAATAGTAAACACATCTGAACACATCTGAAAAGGAAGTGGTCCAGATATATCATTTTGTGAAGTAAGGGGGGAAGAGAAGCAGAGTTAATTTTGATTGAGGAATCAGCTTTGAACTTTGGAAACATTTTACCTCTGGAATAAACTTTTTTTTCCATTGGGATGGGAAGTCTGTTTCTCTTGGTATTTTGAAAAATCTTCCTTGAGAGCTTGTCATACAAGGGGAGGACAATAACTACTGAATTATAGCAGAGATGGCATTGATATCTTGATTTATATAGAAAGATCATTACAGTCAATGCTGCTGTCTTAAATGCAATTGCAGTGACCAAATTAGAGAGGCAGTTATTTCATGTGCTTTTAAATTACAGTGCAGATTTACTTGTCTTTTAAAGCTGGGTTTATGTGTATTTAGTGCTTCTATTTGATACATATTTCACTTAACTGTGTCTGCCAGTGTAAGAACACTTGATCTCAGCCAGGGCTAAGTGATGAAACACTGGAAGAAATTCTTACAGAATCATCTTCACTTTTGGTAGCAGATGCAGGATGTTACTGATACAGATCTATTTTTATTTTTATGTAAGAGCCTCTAGAAAATGAAACAGTCTATTTTTTTTTTTGTCTCAGTAAATTATTACTGTTTTCACTGTATGCTAATATTATCATTATTGTATCACTGTCTTTTATTTTAGGGGTTATCAAAGTTTTATTAGCAAACTTTCCTGTTGAAATTTAGCTTCTAAGATTTCCATTTGGGAAATCAAAATTGTCTTTTGTGTGTTAAAACAATCTAACAGAGCAGCCTTCAGTAGCTTGAATTGGCTGAAGGAATTGTTTGTTCATGTAACTAATATTGCCTTAATTTTCAGCCTGACCTTTGCAAGGTGCAGTGTCTTGCAATGAGGTTTGGAACACCTCAGTAATGACACTTGCAGGTGTCACTCAATTAACCATTCATTTAGTAACGAATTCCATGGAGATGAAGTTGAAATTCACAGTGCTGTCATAAAGGCGGGGAGATGAAATCTGAGGGAGAAGGATTGGAAACATGAAATCTTTCAAGTCACTGTCAGCATTTTAGCTGGCACACATAGGTGTTGGCTGACTTGTGAAGATTATTTTAAGTCTCCTGCTTTGTCTCATGCATTGAGATGCCTGGCTATGCAAAAGGTGCCTGGTCCCACTCCTGCTTGTGGATGTAGTGCTCTGGCACTCTAATAAAGCCATTCCATTTATGTCCTTATTGTATGAGTGCTGTGCCAGGTGGTTATGTGATGCTGAACTCAACTCAACTGAGGGCACAGGAATGGGAGCTCATTTATAACGCTTATACTGCTGAGGACTTCACTGAATGACTCAGAGGGGATAAGCTACCATATTCCCTGTGGCTAATAAATATTATGTCAATGTGAATCTGGACTGAAGACCCATATCTGTAAAAAAATTATTTTATATTTCTAAGAATGAGGTATGGCCACATTTGAAGTTTGCAGTGATTAATGCAGGACATACAGCTTTTGAAGCACTGTGTCCCTGTCTGAACATCTGGGGTGAGTGGTGTGTTGTCTAGACTACCTCCTTTGCCAGCCCAGCTCTGCTTCAGTTTGCTCAGAGTTTGCCTGCACCATCTGAAGAGAGATTTTGCATGATTCAGACATGGAAAATAGACAGGCATGTGAAGCCAATCAAACCGAAATGTTTTCTAAACCTTGCTGATCTATTTTCACCTGACATCAGCTGCCCAAACACTACCAACAAACCAATGGGACACCTGGGGGTTTATGGCATTTACCTGATCCTGACTGTGTTGCAGAGATACCCTTTGGGCAGTGCCATGTGCTCTGCTCCAGCTGATTTTATCACCTGCTCTTGGCAGGAGCTCTCCTGCCAATGAATTCCTCCTTGGCTTTGGTCCCCAGTTCTGCCATGCACTTCAAACATATTCAGATGTGGGATAGTCTGCTGAAACAGGATGAGAATTGTCTGGGGCATCTGTGCCAGCCTGCTGTGCATCAGCATCCCTTGGAGGATGCTGAAAACAGGCTGGCTGTTTATTCATCTTGTATCTCTTGACATTTGAGACATCTCAACACAAACATTGCTTAGGAACTGTTTTCTGACTTGAGCATTTGGTTTCAAACATAGTTACCTTTGTTTCACCACATGCTATGATTATAATGGTAGTATTTGTGGTAATTTTTTTTAAACAGAGAACATCATGGTTAGTTCTGTGTCAATGCTAAAAGACTTACTTCTTCACATGTGGAAAAATTATCCCTATGTATTGTAAATATGTCCAGGAATATTTAGTGTCTTTGAACCATACTGCTTTTGCCTATTGCAAACCTAAATCTTTCTAGAAGTCTTTCTGAAAGACATAATTTGAGGCATTTTACTGTTGTGGAAGCGCTCACAGTTATAACACAGTCAAGAAGTGCTAAGGGTGAGGGTAGTTTTCCAGAAGGGCTATCACAAAGTGGTACTTCTTGAAACAGATCTGGAAATGTTATGCAAAATAACGAACTGATTTCCAAAAGGTAAGTGCTATATATTACTGCACAATGATTCTACGGGAGCCCTGGAGGTCAGACAGGGTTGCTGGAGGTTGTCTAACCCAGCCCTTGCTCTCTGATGAGCTAATATCAAAATCAGATCATCCAATCAAGTTTTGAATATCTCCCTGAACTAGATACCACAGCCTCTCTGGGCAATCTGTTTCAGTAATTAACCTCTCTCACCATGCAAATATTTTCCTTTTATCTCATTAGAGTTTCCCTTGATACCACAGGCTTTTGTTCTTTTGCTGTGAATCCAAGTCCAACTCTGTCTCGGTGCCGTTGTAGGCTTCAATTACAGCGCTCCTTACCTGTCGCTTTCCTGGGGAAAAGGTTCCTTCAGCCCTTACTCCTGCAGTCCTTTGGACTTCCTTGAATACATTGGTGTCTTGTATGGGGAGACCCCAAACAGGACAGGGGACTGCAGCTAAGGCCTCGTGGGTGCTGCGAGGGGAGCAGTGCCTGCCGGAGCCGCCGCTGCTGCCGCAGCCGGCGAGGGTGCGCCGCCGAGAGGGAGCGCGGCTGCCCCGCGTTCAGCCATGGCCCCGTGCCCTGGGACCCTTCAGCAGTAAGGCATCTGATTGCTAATGAGCACTGAGGGAAACTCTGCTTTGAAATCTTTCATTCTTTTGGTGGTGATTTTTTAGGTACTTTAGTGAAATAGTTGCAGATGTTCGCATTACTTGTCATTTTCACCTCTCTATAGGTATAGCTGGAATTGCTTGTTTTAGCTTATTTGAGAGGCAAAAACTGGCTGCACTTGTGCAAACCAGAGCTCTAAGCAGCTGTGATCAGAGCCCACCCAGACTCCTGGCTCAGGAGCATTTATGCTCCCTTATCTGTATGTGACTTGGATGTTAAAGTTCCTCCAGACATCCTCCAGCTTCTTTGTCCAATGTCTCCATGGCACAGGGATTCTCTGAAGGACCAAAAAGGTTCAAAAGCCACACTTAACTTTTATACTATGTTAAGTGTGCTTCAACTCCTAATGCTTTCAGCATTGTTTGATGGATGGCAGGGGGGTGTTGAATTGGTTTTTTATTGTAGAATCTTTTCTGGAGGTCATACTACATGGAATGTTCTCATTAATTCATGCGTCTGCCATATGCGTATGTAGATTTCTGTCCAGCCTGTTTAGTTGTCTTGTAAAAGCAGTTCTGTATTGCATTGTAGAACACTGTAAATTTAACATTTTCTATAATAGCAACTTTTCATTCCCCCCTTACTGATGGCTGATGTGTATGGCACTATGTGTCTGAGCATGATACTCAAGTTGGCTTTGTTACTGTTTGGAAGATTAAACCACAGGTTAATAAATACTTTAGTGCAAAAATAGCAGTATTCATATAACTGCTGTTTCAGGTCTAGACATAGTAGCTTGCACTACTACATAGTCTGTTGCACACAATATTTCCAGCTTCTGACTCATCTAAAGAAGCAATTGAATTTGATTTTCTTCCTTTCTAGCTGTATGAAGGTTCCTATGGGAAGAATAACCTTCAGATATTCTAATTTTTATTTTGAGCTGCAATAGAAATGTAGTACTGACCTCCTTGCAAATCTGTGTTTACTTAT